CGGATATACATTTTATTTTCTATAGTAGCACTTCGTTTCTGTGCAGCATTTTCCTGGTGAGTGGTTTTGTCCGTTCCTATTTTTCCTGTTATTTCCTCGTTTCTCTTGTTTTTTGTAGTGCATCTTTGCTTTTTTTTTTTTTGAATCTTTGAGTGAGGTAAAATTTTCTGAGAAGCTATCTGCTGCACGTTCATAACAGGGAAAGAACCAGGGCCATATTCCAGATGGTAGAAATTTCTCCTCATGGCACTGGGTCATGCGTGTTTATTTCTCCCCAGCTGACTGAAGACCAGCCTGGCAGAGCCTTTCCCAATGCATCGTGTCTCTTCCTCCACTCTCCCACACTGGCATTTTAATATGTTTGCTATAATAATGAGTGGAACTTCCAAAAGAAAAGAATATCTAGTGTTTCTGAAGGCCTTTAAATGACTGCTTAACAGATGATTGCCGAATGAAGTAATGTGGAGAGGTGTGGGCTAATAAAGCAATGGAGTCGTAAATGCCTCTTACAAAGAAGCTCAAAACCAAAATAATTTTTTGGAAGAGTATTTAAAAAGTCACCAGAAGTAGATGCCAATATACCATACAAAACTATATGCTTTGTGGACTTCCTATAATAGAATAGCATTTTTAGTTAGATTAAAAATGTGTATACACATTCCCAAGGTATTTAGTAAAAACTATAATTTGCTTGGAAACACTGGGTGAATCTGTGACAAAAAGGATACTATGTTTCATGACTGATGATATGAAAACCAACTTCAAAAAAAGCCAGCAACATATTTTTCATTTTAACTTTAATACACAGGCAACTCTTTTTAGTGTTTGTACGATTTAAACATGTGATATCAGAATTTTTAAAAAGTTATTTGGCAATAAACACAACTAGCTCTGAATCATACAAAACGAAGGAAGTTTTAATTGTTGGTGAATTGGAAGTTTAAATTTTAGATAGGAGTATGTTTTGCTGGTGTAGTTGCATTGATTGTAAAACTTTCTGGAGTACTGGCTCCCCAGATTAAAGAACCGGCAGGAGAATGGATGTAAATACAGTGCCTCCTTCAGAAGATTTTGCTGTGATGTCAAACTAAATAATGTGTTTAGTGACATAGTAAAAACTGTGGCTACATAAAGACTAGTGCATTAAATTCTAACTTATTCTCTTCATTATGTAAAAATAAGGAAGCTAATCATAACAAACTATTATTGCATGCTGAGTAACAGGCTTATATAGAAAGATTCTGTCAAAAACCTTGGAGCCACAGACCAAACCCTTATTTTTTCTGCAAGATAGGAAGCCAGTTTGGTCCCAACTTTTTAAAGATATAAAATGGATGCCCAAACTTGCTTATTTGCCAGATTATCTTCAATATTTTTACTGAGCTTAATATTTCCTGCAAGGAAAAAGATGTAAGATTTTTTCAGTGGTCAGTAACACCAAAGGGCAAAATGAAAGATGCTTGGAGGAATAGCTTCCATAAATTGTTATGATGTAACTTGATAACAATTATCAATCAAGTAGGTAAATTTGATATTGCACAGCTGCAAAAAGTTATCAGACATCTTACAGATTTTATAGGATGTTGATTTTCAGAATAGAAAACCAATACAGAAGAAATTCATGAATTCAGAATTCATGTCATTGAGAGATAATTTCAATCTGACTGTAACTTTATAGCATAAATTTTCATAATGGGCTATCATTGAGGAATAATTAAAGACACATTTTGAAGTTAAATCAAAAATTTTAGTAAGCCTGAGCTTACTAAAATTGCTTTACAATCTTCAGTTCTGAACATATCTATGTGAGACTGGCTTTTCTGCTAACAGTGTAGTAGAAAATGGTTTAGATGTCCTTTATCCTTGCAGCAAGCAACCTCACTTAAATTAAACATTGCTATACCTGTTTGTTCAAAGTATGCATATAGACATTAACTGGGACTAAGCATTTCTCTCATATGACTTTAGGAAAATTGAGGGACACAGAGTTATAACAGTGATTGTCCATATTAATCTCCCATAAACATCTTAAATGAACAACGCATAGTTTTTATAATTCTTTTTCCTTTTATGTTGATTATATTAAAACATTTTATGTTTGTTAGGTACAATAAAAACTGGGGATAAAGATTTCATTTTTCTAGAAATTCATTTTTTTATTTAATGAAAGTATTAGTCTATAATAAACTAAGAAAAATAAATAAAAGGTGGACCCTTCACCACAGACTGAGAGGCACCTGATCCAGAAAAGGTAGTAAACGCTAGGTTAATCAGAGCAGGAGGTGCTACGTTACTCACTGGAATCCATTAAGTTAGTGGTCATAGTTACATATAAACTGGGGCCAAGAAGTTAAACCTTTCTGAACACAGGGCTAGCAAAATAATAAGGCATTTCGTGAAAGGACTGTTTCTATACATTCAATTTCCAATTTTCTGCTCTCACAAAGAGCTCAAAACATCCTACATCCACTGTCTCTCCAACCTCTGCTATTCTAACACCACTTAGCAATGAAAAGTTGAGAAGAATTTAAATGAGAAAGAAAGAGGACCCTACAACTGGCTTTGGTTGATGCACTCGGTTTATTTTGTAAACAGTGTTTTTCTTAGGGAAGAGGCTCTGCCTTAGTATTCTTGCTAGTCTGCAGACTTTGTTCAAGGTCAGGCAGTATTCTCAAATATGTATTGACTCAATTAGTAATAAGGGAATATATAAAAATTAGAAAAAAAATGTAGCTTCTTGAGCAGCTCAAGACTTCACCATACTCATTAACTCATTTCAGTGGAAATCAAATGAGTCACCATAATCATTAACTCATTTCATTAAATTTGTTCTTGAAGTTAATTTTCTCATTGGGAAAAACTACCAAACTCCTTGCTATTCCTTATACTATGCCAAATCTTTGATAGGCCTAAATTTACAGATTTGAGTTCAGAATAAGAAAAAAGCCCACATTTACATTCAGAGTTTAAAGCCACCTAATATCTCAGAGGTCACTGACCAAAGAGAGCTGCCACATTTCCCACTGGGGAGTGAAATAACCCAACTTAAGAAAAACATGCCCACAAAGTCAGACCCAACTAAAGTCTGACTTTGAAACAGGTTAACATGGAGTTCTCACTGCTGCAATAAAGTTAAATACTCAACACCACTGAAGGAAAACACTTACTTTTTGATGAAATAAAACTAGTAACCCTGATATCTACTTGAATGGATGCTTCAGGAGGACAGAGCATTTTGTGTTGTTTAAACATCTGCAGAAAGATGATCAAAGCAGTTATGTTCTTTCCAGTATCTAGAGGCTAGGAAAATGGACACACTGACTTACTGGGTTCAAAGCTTTGAAGTAGAACACACAAACTTTTAGATGGTTATGTTCACAGCTTCTCCATATGAAATTAAATATTCAGTAAGAGTGTAAGGTCCAAGGAGATATGTAATGGAAAAAAACACAATGGTCAAAAGGAGAAACAGAGTTTCAAATATTGTTCTATGATGTATAGATTTTATACATATTTATATATTTTAAAGAATCACAATTGGGAAATGTTAAAACTGATATTTGATCATGACCTTGGATAACAATGATCTAATTCTTACCTTTGTCCAAAAAACTGGGCACATATCTTCTCAGGTGGGAATATAATGCTTTGGTATTTACAGAATAGCCAGTTACCTGCTTTGTACATGAGGGGTCAGTGAACCATTATGTAAAATGTGTATCTGACACACCACAGCTCCCAAACAATGAATTTACCACTGACATCAAAGTTTACTGTCAGCAGATATTTTACAAAATATGAAATTTAATGAAATTCATACTTTTAAGCAATCACTTCAGTAAAAGAAATTGACTGTTATAGATGATGTATGACAACAGATTCAGAATTGGTTAGTTGAACTTGAGCATTACATTTTAAAGCTATTTGCCAAACAAACCCTAAAGCTTGTTTTATTTCAAGAGAAAACATCATGAAAAAAGTTACGTTACATTGGCTAACAAGGTCAGTGACACATGTAATGATCAATCACTTAACATTTCACAAGACTTTTTATTGGTTTTTAAAAAGCAGTTAATATTTTAAGGTACACTATATAAACAAAATAGCCGTATCTTGATTTTTGCCAACAGGAAAATGCTAATTTCCTTTCAAACCAGTTCCTGGACTACAGCTACACATATGGTGAACAAGCTCATCTTAGAGTAAAATTCAGCTCCTGACACACACTTCTATGGCAACTGTAACATAGTTAACATTTGTCCTGTACCTAGATGAACACTGATCCATTGGAGGCCACTGAATAAAAACTTCTTCAATCTCATTTGCTGTTTTATTGAGGATTCTACTAGTTTTTACAGAAGAGCTGAGCCTTTCCTTCTCCTATTCCTTTTATAACTTCTGATCCAGTTTCCTGCCAGTTTGTTTTTCCTCCTTTATGAATTGTTCTCAATCTTTCAATGTATGTTTCCATTCACTTTATGCCTAAATGCTTCTCTATGACTTACCAAACCTGTAGAAATGGGTGTAAACTGGTATTTTTCAAAGGTCAAAGTATACAAATTCATTTATTAGGATTAGGTTTAAATTGCTTTCACTGAGATTATTCAAAGGATTTTTGCCTTCATTAAAAATTATTTCAAAAATATGACATCCATGTTTGTTCATTAATAAGGGTTTAGGCCTATCCAACTTTTTACTAATACAAATTCGAGCAGTGTCCTCTTTTAAGCTAAAAATGATTATCTTTCCCAATAAATGTATAACAATACAATAGGGGTGTCACTTTAAGGATGCTCAAAATTATGGAAAACAGAGGTTCCATTACAAAAATCCAGTTAGCACAAAAGTCACTAAGTTATGATACAATTTTGAGTGGGACCTATGCAGTGCTACTTAGCCTTTAAAATACCAACAAAAGGAATGGGGGATGAATCACAGTTAAGTATTGCCTTAACTGTGAAACTTAAATGTGGATGTACACTGATTACTTTCTATTTCAGGTACTTGTATAACTGTAAAGATATTATATTGCGAAGAAACACAGCTGGAAGTCTGGGCTTCTGCATTGTAGGAGGTTATGAAGAATACAATGGAAACAAACCTTTTTTCATCAAATCCATTGTTGAAGGAACACCAGCATACAATGATGGAAGAATTAGGTAAATAATGACTAACAAAAAAAACCTTAAATGTTGTTGCATAAATGCAAAAGTTTGGCCTATTTGAGATAAGGCATGTATTTATTATACTTTGTGGGGATTTAAAATAGTTATATAGCATTCAACTTCTGAGAAATCCAAAATAATTGTACATGTTCTTGGCACCATACTACAACTTCCCATACATTCCCCTCTAACATAGGCTGAATGGATAGTGTTGAGTTTGGAGAATGTAAATAAGAGGCAAGAGATATCTAAATTAGAAGTTAATATAATTAAAATGGTCAGATGTAGCAAAAACTAGGACCCCTAAAATAAACTATGATTAACTTCAGCAATGAATTAAAATATTAACCGTATCTTTGTTTTTCTAGATGTGGTGATATTCTTCTTGCTGTCAATGGTAGAACTACATCAGGAATGACACATGCGTGCTTGGCAAGAATGCTGAAAGAACTTAAAGGAAGAATTACTCTAACTATTGTTTCTTGGCCTGGCACTTTTTTATAGAATCAATGATTGGTCAGAGAAAAACAGAAAAATCACAAGCTAAGTTGAAACACTATATTTATCTTGTCAGTTTTTATATTTAAAGAATACATTGTAAAAATTGCAGGAAAAGTGTGATCTAATGAAAGCCAGTTACACCTCAGAAAATAAGATTCCAAAAAAAAAAAATAAATAAAAACTAACAGTTTTTCTTTTTTCAGTGTGGAAGAGTTCTCATTACTCCATAACTTTGTTTATATTTTTCTATTCAATAAAAAGCCCTAAAACAGCTAAAATGATTTGTACACCCCACTGAATTCAAATTGATTTAAACTTAAAATTTGGTATAGGCTGAAGTCTGCCAAGGGTACATTCTGGGCATTTTTAATTTAAGGCCAAAAGATTTTTTTAAATGCATTGCTGAGAAACATTGTTTTCATCAAACAAGAAATAAATATTTTTCAAAAATTATAGTTGTCTTTTAGTATGTGATACTAATTAAGGTTACCTATATTACATTTTAAAAGAGCCTAGTAATTTATTCTTTCAAATACCATGTCATTTGTTACCATCACTGACAAATACCTCCTAGGGTTATCCCTAAAAATGCTCAGAGATTTAGAAACTTGTTTTCTTAGTTTTAATAAGAAATGGCTAAAGCTCTTATTTTTTTCCACAATAGTAACTGCATAAAAACTTGTGCCGGTCTACCAGTGGGCTTTGGAAAATGCATCAGGAAGGCCAAACCAGCGTGACCCTGGCTTTTATAGATGGTCATGAGGCGATTCAAACAATTTGTGTCACAATAAAGTGTTTGTACATGTGCCTCCTAGAAACTATGCTAAAGGTAATTTATTTCATAAAGGCCGCCCAAATGCCTTATAGGTTTTATTAATTTGAATATGAAAGTATACCCCATTTAGTTTCACCAGGAACCCAAATTTAGAACATTGAAAAGCTTTCATCAAAAAGTTGTGATATCAAAAATGTGTAAGTCTCTTAATATACTAAGCAAGAGTGTCACAGCAGTAATGATAAAGACTAGTTTTAATCTCAAGCCTTAGAGGGACCCTTTGTTGCCTCTTGTACAGCCTCTTACGAGACTGGTATTTGGTTAACAACAACAACAAAAAAAACTGGTTAAAGTGGAACTTTGACCTTTTATCAGATAGATACTGTATAGGTACAAAGCTAACACAGCTCTTTGGATTCCCTGTTAAGTGACTCATTCACATTCCTTTCTTGGATATAAAGTCATTGCTGTCTTTTTATTTTTTAAATATTACAAGACGAAGATTTTTAACTTAACATGAAAAATTCACTCTTTTATTTTGGGAAAAAAGTTAACTTTTCATACTAACAGAAGAAGATTTAAGGTAAATTTCTTAAACATTATCCAGAAAAATAACAAGATATATAGTATCTACTTCTGGTACGAATAGACACAAAAGGCCAAAACCACGCCTATTCTGCAGGTGTAGCTTCGGCGCTCTCCTGTTCGGGGGCAGGCTCACTGCCAGCTTCTTTGCCTTCTTTGCTTCTTTTAGATTTTTTGTGTTTGTGTCTCCTGTGACTATCTCCTTCTTCACTTTCATGGCGACGTCTACTATTACTGGAAAAAAAAAAACACAAAAAAACGTGTGTTCTGTTTAAATACACAATCGGTGACAAAAATAAAACCACTCTAAGGAAATTCTCAATACAACACTGAGTTTAAAATAATGCATTTTCTCATAAACACAGTGTGGGGAATAATCAGTTTTTATGTGACTTTTATGTAGTGATTATATGATAGGGTCATCTTCACTGATATGATCTCAGATTCCCAGTGCCTATACAGCTTATTCTAAATGCATATTATAACATACAGTAACGGAAACAGGCACTACCGGAAATACTGTATAGGGCTGATTTTTGGCAAACGATAGTTATTTTAATGCTTTAAAAAAAATTTTGCAACAAAGCCCTGAATTTTTAATGAAACCAAGCACTGCTTTGATTCATAACTTATTAAAGACTGGTTCACAGGCCAAAATTTCCCCTCTTCCAATGCGACAATGTAGTAAGTCAAAATCTCACATACGACTGGTTCACTATTGATTAAAGCACAAACCTTCGCGAAGACTTGTGTCTGGTTTCCTCTTTCTCCCTGTGTCGTCTCTCTCTATGTCGTTCTTCTTTCTCTCGACTTGCTCTGTGACGCTCGTAACCTCTTTCTGCATACTCCCTGTATCTGTAGCGTTCTTCATCACTGAAACCGAAACAGAAATGTTTTCTTGACAACTGGACCATTAATTCTGAATGGATTCAAACTGTGAAAGAGAAAATGTGATCTGAAGTCCAAACCAAAAATCCCTACATTAGCATCTTTTACAACATTGATGAGGAATAAATATTTGTTGAATTGAGAGGAAAACAATGTTTGTTCTCAAAATAGCACTAGAGCTAAGAATATAAATATATAATAATTACCCATGTTAAATGGCCAATTTTGTTCTGTGCTTTCATTGCTGTTAAAAAGATTTAACAATGCTTTTACTTTTTCATTTCTTGAAAATGAGATCTGCAACTGATTTAAATTATCAGCTTTTAAAATTTTTGCTCCTTTTAGAATATTTGTATAGCTCAGATTTCTAACCAATATTCTTAGAGTCTTGGACACACATAAAACATTATAAAAATACACAACTCACAATGACTACAAAGCAGAAAGCAAACGAAGTTTTTAAACTTTAGGTTTATCATTAAAAAATATTCAAATAGAGAAGAGACATTAAAGCAACTTCTACAGTATCCATACAAAATGCAGACTGGACATACCTGCATTCTGACACCCTAATTACGTGTGTACGTGTGTGTGCGCACGCGCGCACACCACATGGTTAATAACTTCAGCTGCGTTAAGTTGCATCTCCATTTTCTGATTTTGGATTGAATTACAGACTGGTAAAACTGAGACTAATGGCTAGTGTTAGAGGGCGGTCTTTCCTTTCCCTAGACCTCTTTTCCTTTCATGTCCCTTAATTGACATTCTCTTTCCATCTTTTTCCTCATCCTTCAAGTCTCTTATTTCTTCTCTTTCCTTTGTTTAGCATAGAAGTCAACACTTTGTACAACCTAACATCAGTAAATTCACTAGAATAAAATCTTTCAGAAGAGTATGCTGAAGAGCTTTAATTTCTAGAAATGTTTAACATGAATTATTAAACTAGTAATTTGTACGAAATATCAAGATGGTAAGGAATCTCAGGGTTTAACATAGGTGACAATTATAAGCCATGTTTTAAAAGACATGTCAGCCTGTGTTTTAGCAAAAGTAATGATTCAGTAATGCTATGCTTAATGCCCAATCGTACTGCTAACCAAGTTATTATATGTGGTATATTAAAATTTTAGAATCTTATTTAAAAAACAAAATGTATTCATATATCCATTTGCACCTATGTGTATATGTATTTCCACTATTTTTTTCCTAACTATAAATATGCACTTTGTACTTGGAGTGTGGAAGCATGTCGCCTGAAAGGTAATAGCCATGCCAGTCAGTAGAGAGCAGCAGAAAAGAGTACAAGCAGAGTACACACAGAATCACATCCTGATCTTGCCGCTTAACTGAGTGACCCAGGCTGTTATTTATCCTCTCTAAACCTCAGTTTTCTCATCTGTAAAACTGCCAACAGTCTTTTTAAAGGTTTCTGTAGAACTGACAACATTTATAAAGTGCTTGGTATGACAGCAGGCACTCAATAAATGGCAGTCTTTGGTGAATTTAATGCTTCATTTTTTTAGAAGCAGAACTTTTTATTACCATGTCTTGAAGCAGAATAAACTAGCCCCACAGGAAATACAGTTAACTCCTCTCCAAAAGAGGCTTTTCAATGACTCCAACTATATTTACGTAAAAATAATTGAAGTCAATTATCTCATAATGCATCATTTATAACCCTCTCTTTTTCCGCTTACCCTAAAACCAAACTCTGTGGGCTTTGGAGCCTTTAGATTCTGAAAGCAGTCCTGTGATGGGAACCTTGTAACAGACGGTAGAAGATTGAGTCCTACACACAAAATATAAAGACCTTCCTCCTTCCATCCCCTTTTCTGATAAGTGGCTGAACCATGAAGGTTTTTTTGGACCTGGAAATCATTAAAGCTCATTTCAAACATCCTAAAATGATCAGCCTTCTTTCTGGCCCATAATTAAGCTGCCTAGAAAACAGATGTTTAAACTGGTCTGTAATTTTCAAAACAATGGCCCTATAATTTGTAAAGCAACGTATACTACATGTCATATTGCTAAAATATCAGTCTTCAGAAACCTTTACTTATACTACACTTGAATTTTCCCAGGTACAATTTTTTCCTTGGATAATTCACAGCAACCCAAAATTCCTCTACTTTTTGCCTCTCTGGCCTTAAACATTTTAGTTAAATTTAGGTAAACATTGACTGCTAATGCCCTACAGCTCAGCAACCTGAATGTCAAACATGGTTTAACCATTAACACTTTTAAGTTTCAATAAGAACTCACTAATACTTGTGCATAGATTTGAAGTAGAATTCGAGGATTTAGCCAAATCTTCTACAATGTATTATTTATGCAAAAATTTATGAGCTCTGGCAATTTATCTTACTCTTATTTCCTATCAAGTTTTGCATTAAGCTCCTGACTTATAAACATGTACATTCTAGAGATAGCAATGCTATCGCAAATATACTCATTTCCACAATAGAAACAATTCAACTCTCTGGAAAGTAATGCCCTTAAATTTTAAAAAATCATGTGCTTCAATGAGCTAAAGTCAACAGCATATTTCCCACCAAGCAAACACAAACAATATACTCATGCACACACACTTATTATAGTGTTTACTTATTTGGTCAATAAAATTTTATTAAGTACCTTCAATGTGTAAGTCATATTAGCAGGAGCCAAAGGAAGGAAAAAAGATTAATAAATCCTTATGAGTTCCTTCTTGTGCATTTTTTTATGTAATGTTTTAAGCTACCAACCAATCCTAGTCAGCCTGAAATATGAGGGCTCTTCATAAGTTCATGGAAATGCATGCTATGAACAAATTATTCAGGACTTCCTTTTTTTGCAACAAAATAAACTCAGTAATTTGTTACAATATCTCTGAAAAGGATCTAGTTTGAGGCACTAAGGTAACCGTTTTGGGGTCCCATAAGCCACATCCATATAAGTCAGCAAACTTAATAAATGTACATGTTCTTGAGTGACCCACTTTTTAGCTCCTCCCTTTCCCTCTCCTTAGGTCTCCCTATTCCCTGAGAAACAACAATGTTGAAATGAGGTCAATTAATAAACCTACAATGGCCTCTACATGATCAAGTGAAAGGAAGAGTTGCACATCTCTCATTTCAAATCCACAGCTAAAAATGATTAAGCTAAACATGATGAAGCTTGGAGAGGAAGACATGTCGAAAGTAATGATAGACGAAAGTCTAGGCCT